AAGCTTTGAGTAAAAAGCTTTATTTGTAAGCTCAGACTATTTGAATATAAAAGTACGAGCATTGCTCACTTAGATTAGATTCCTGTACGGTTAGAACACAGTTATATGTAAATGCTATTCATTTAATAAATATTTTTTTAAAACTTAACCGAACTTTCAATCTCATTAATTTGCATACTTAGATAGCATAGATACTGAATTATTTCGGTACAGAAAAGAATTTCTTTTTACTAATGCTGAAACTTTATGCGATAGTAGCAGACATTGTTGAAAGGTGACATGCTCCAATACATGACTCGACGATTTTTGGAAACTTCGGAATATGTTATAGGTTGGAGTCTAATGAATTCGAAATTGGATTTGTTATTGTAGATAATGGAAATAAAAATACAACATACGCCGCTGTCAGGAGTTAATATATTTGCTAAAAGTTTTTTTAAGTCAGTGATTAGAACGCGCATTCGCATTGAACATGTTGTGTGTAAGCAGTAATTTTCAGTCTTATTACTGTAATTTTGGATGAAATTGGCAAAAGCTCATATCATTATATTTTTAAAAGTTTTTCACCAAAATATATTATTTAATATTTTCTTTATTGTTGTTGATTATTATATTTTGGTTTTATTATCTTTTATTTAATTAAATGCAAAGAAAAAAACCAAAAAACAATCATACTAAACAATAGTCGTGTTTTAACAAACAATGGTGTGGATCTTCTTTGCTGAAACAATATGGATCACAGCTGTGCTTGCATACAAAATTTTGTTTTGATTTGTGTTAATAATTTTGGAGCTAAAACAATATTTGAAAAAATTTTAAATATAAAATATAAAAAATCTAAAATATATAAAAAATATAAAATCTGCTGAAATGTCTGAATTAGTAAATATAAACTTCTGTTCTGTTGTCATGTAAAATACTCTTTATATAATAAATATTAATTGCCTGGTAACTCTGGCCTTAAGTCAGACAACTGTCATTTTTTTCTGTATTCCTTTTATTCATTATTATATTGAATAAAGTGAAGTAAAAACTTGTCGAAATCATCGGATCGTGTGTATCATTTTTTGCTCAAATATATAATATGTTCATTATATACTTTAAAACTTAATTTAAATTCTGTGGTGAATAAATGAAAATTGCAGTTTTCAATACTCATCACGATATTTACTGAAATAAAAGTACTTTCTGAGATATTTCGTTGCCTGTTTTGGTTTTTTGAGATTAAAAATCCGTTTCGAGAAAATGGGCCAAAGTTGCAATTCATCCAAGGCAATGAAATGGCAGACAAACTTGCAAGAAGAGGCGCAGCCTCAAGAATGATCGGCCCAGAACCATTCTGTGGTCTAGGCAAAGGAACTCTATCTACTCTAATGAATGGTGAAGAGGAAAAAGAAAGAGAACTGTATTGGTAAAGGTTACCAGGACTCTCACAATCTAAAATGCTGTTAGCGACTTACAACCTAAAACGCTTCATAGGACAACCAAAAAACAACCTTAGCATTATTACGGGATTATTGACCGGTCACTGTACATTGAATATTCATCCAACTCAGACTGTAGATACTGTAGAGAAGAAAAAGAAACTGCATACCATGTGCTTTGGGAGTGCCCGGCACTAATGTACAAGCTGAAGAAACACCTAGGAGGGTGTTTCATGGATCATAAAGATTCAAGACTAGGAAAGATAGGGTCTATTCTATCTTTCATTAAAAAAATCGAATTTGAAGAAACAGCAAAATTAATATTTTTATTTGTACTTTGGTTGTGTGTTGTTAATAATATATAGATATTTATAATTATGTTAATAACATTTTAAAAAGTTTCACATCTTTTAAAAATATATATGTCTTAAAAATATATTGTACTATTTGCGATTTTTTTTTAAATCATAACTGTTCAAGTTCAAGTCTGCGGTTTGGTGAATGTGACCTGTATTTGACTGTCTCTAAAACGGAATATTTTATACAAAAATGCGTTGATCAACATTTATTTATTTAATTTATTATCTATATTTAATTAAATAGTTCTTTGTTATTTTTTTGCATCCTACTAAATATTTTTAAAATAGTAATATTGTTTTGCATATATTAAGTTAATTTAAAATTGTATTCACATAAAATTGTATTTTTCTTAAATAAAATATTTTGGTAGATGGGACTATCGGGGAATCGAACACTTAAAATTCAGTATCGCGTTAGCAAGCATACCTCTTAGATGGTGCGGAAAATGCTTATATATTTTATATTTCTTCTAACACTACGGAATTAACGCGAAATTGATCCCCATTCTTCACAATGTTTTTAAATGTCTTAAGTGGTTAATACTTAAGAATTTTTTGAATTTCATACATGAAAAGCATTTCACTTTATTAAAAGAAAGTGAAGTAGTAAGTAGTAAACACATACATTTTTACAATTTTCTTGAGATTTCCTAGGAGTTTTTGCACTGCACTTATGTTAATATTTATTTATTGCACTAATTTATAATTTTTGGTTAAAAATTTACGAATTTATTTATTTATTTATTAAACATCTTATAAAATTTTCACAATGGTAACATCAAATTTACCTAATTTTTATCTAATTTACTCTACTCGAAATTCAGGTAAATACCAGCATTCGCTGCCATACCGACATAATTAACTATCCCTCAATTTAACATCAATTTACTCGAACTCGCAAACGGCCCATATACAAAATTTTTTTTAATGTTAAAATATTATATTAATATTCATTGTCTGTGCATGTGCGAGTTGTGCTAAGTTGATGCTTAACCAAATGGAATTTTCCTTTGGATTTTTTGCGCTGCACACATTTAGCCACTTACTCCAAAAAAGTGTGCGAGTTGCATTTTGACAGTTAAAATTAGCTGTGAATATATTCTGATTTCAATACTTTGTTTACATATTTTGCAATGGCGGAGAACGTGCAAATCGATGAAGCATTTTTATTTACGCAATTTTGCAAATTAATTTAGTTACACAATCATCGTAATATATTGAAAGGGAGATTCTTAGTAGAATATCCAAAGGTAATTATAAAATAATTTCAGTATAATTTACAAAATTGGAATGTGTTGAGCACAAACAAAATTATGCAAACGTCAAAAATTACCAAAACAATATTGCCAAGTCAATGAAAAAAACTCACTTAGTTCTCTGGAAACAGTCACTATAATAAAATTTTATCAAATAAATGTTTATGATGTTTAAAATAATAAGAATTTTAGAAAATACAAATAGTTACAAAATTCATTGCAAATGCTTATTAAATAATGAAAAATATATGCAAAAAGTATTCATTTTTCAATACAAATAAAACGAAACGTTTTAATAAAATTATTTTTTATTGTCATTTTCTGTATTCATATATTCATTTAAATTCAATTTTGAAAATATTATCTTATGAAAATATTAAAATGGCAGCCCTGGCGATTTAGTCTCGACTTAGCCACCTCGAAAATATGTTAACACATATGCTAACCAACACATCATTACATTATCGGCACAACTTTGAATTTCCCTCATTTAGAACGCAACTTAGCACAACTCACACACGGCCTAAAACCTAATACTATGTTCAGACAGCCAAATTTCCTTAGTTTCGGAAAAATGAAACTAAGTTAGTTTCGAAAGTGTTCATACTGCCCAAATTAAGGAAATCATATGTTTTTTGTTTACATATGGAATTACATGCTCAAAACACTATTTGTATTTGAAATATTTAAATATTTGATATTGAAATTAAAAAATTTGATTTTTGAAATAAAACAGAAATAAATAAAATATATAATATACAAAAAATGAATAATAACATTTCCACAATGTTTAGGAGCCCTTGGTATGTACTTATAAATTCAAATGTAAAAGTGTTTAATAATAATTTTATTTAGATGGATGTCATATTAAAATACGTCCAAACTCAGAGGATGCAGTTGATTATTACAACTATAAAGGATGGCACTCAATAGTTTTATTAGCTTTAGTGGATTTCAGGTATGTGGATTATTATTTTGCACTCTATTTTAAACTAATACCATTTAATAGGTATCGTTTCATGTACGTTAATGTGGGAACTCCTGGACGTTGTAATGATTCGTATATATTTGAAACATCCAACTTGAAAAAGATGTTAAATACGTGCAACTTATTAAGGCAAAATAAGAGAAATATATGCAACTTGGATGTGCCAGTATATATAATAGCAGATTCGGCATTTAGGCTAACCCAAACTTTAATGAAACCATATCCATTTAATGTTGATATGCCGCTTGTAAAAAAAAATTATAACTACAAACTTTCGAAATGTAGAAGGGTTGTTGAAAATGCATTTGGACACTTAAAAGCACGATTTCGACGAATAGGAAAGGGTTTAGACAATAGAATTAATAATGCAAATATTATTGTGAGTGCTTGTTGTGTGCTGCACAATTTTTTAAATGAAAACAACGACCACATTAATGCACAATGGTTAAAAGAGCTGAAAAATATTGATAAAAACCAACATCCTGACCAACACCCCATTATTTTTGATATGGAACCTATTGCAGAAGAAATAAGACAAGCTGTTGCAACTTACTTGAGTATGTATATATTTATTTATTAACTAAAAAATTATTTAACATATATTAACTTAATTTTTAATTATTTACGTCTTATTAAAGTAATGATTAGATTACTTATTAACTAAAAAATTATTTAACATATTTGAACTTAATTTTTAGTTATTTACATTTTATTAAAATAAAAATTAGTTACTTTTTTGAACTTTTATTATTTACATTTACTTATTTTTGTTTTTTTAAAAAATCTAGAAAAACATCTTTCAGTTCTTTAGAATCTTGAACAAATTCATGAAGTTCTTCAGTTTTTTTTTTGATTCTTGAAGCAACTCTCTTTCAGTTTGCTTTATTGATTCTAAAGAACTTGATAATTTTTCATGAATTTTCAAGTTTTATACTTCTGAAAATTCATCGTTTCTTTTACTGTTGATAATTTTTCACATGAAGGTGGTAGGCACTTCTGATAATATTGGTGGCAATAATGTTGACATAGGGGATGATGACATCGCCATTTCCTCCTCCAGATATTCCTCATGAAAGTCTGCATCTAAAATATTGGAAAAACCGTTAAACATTAAAGATAAACATAATAAAAATAACAAATAAATAACAAATTGCATGAATAATTTATTTTTTAATATTTATTTACCATCAATACTTTCTATTTGAAGTTGTTTGATGTTTTGGCTTTTGAAGCCACCAATTATTTTTTTCACCCGTTCATAATACACCCACCTAGAGGGTGAACCACCAGAAGGGCCAATTTTGCAATTTTCCTTTCTTTAAATTAAAAATTAAATATTATTATTATCTTCATTACGTTAATTCCAAATACCTGAATTTTGAGGTCATGTTATTTATTTTCGTTTGCACTTCTTTGGGGTTGTGCTTAAACCCGAGTTGATTTAATTGATCGCTGATTTCTTTATGCACATGCCCGTTCTTGCGTGCACCACGAAAGCCTTCCATATTGCACTCCCAAACCTCCAAAAGTGCATTTTCTGCTGCTTGGGTCCAACCGTACCTTTTTTTATAATTTTTCTTGTCCATCGCCAATGCTTAACTGTTTGAATTACTTTCAAAATATTTTCCCGGTTTTATTAAAGTCAGCTGTTTTTAAAAATACATGTCACTTTTTCGTTATCTCAATTTTATCTTTTGCTTAAAATTTGTTTTTAACATAGTTGCATTTGAAAATTCCCTTAGTTTCATGCTTCGTTTCAGCGAAATTAAGGCTATTTTCCTTAGTTTCGTTTTGACATTGAAACTAAGTTTTGTATGGAAAAAACAACTTAGTTTCGCTGAAACGAAGATGAAACTAAGATTTTTACGAAACTAAGGTGTGTCTGAACAGCATATAAAACAGAATATTAAAATAATGTAACTTAAAACTCGAAATATATGTATACGTACTACAGAGGCGAGGCGTCGAATGGTTCAGAGTGTGCACTGAACACCTTTACAAAGCTTCCTTTTTAGATCTTTTTTTTATTAGGTAAATAATCTCACTATTTTGGTACTTAACATTTTTTATAATAGCTTTTCCAAACAGATTAACATAAACATAAAACGTATAATACAAACAAAACCACACATACATATGTTAGTTACACTCAATATTACTTATAATTAATAAAAAAGAAAACACATTCCTCTTAAAATATACTAAGGTTCAGAATAAAAACTGCACCGCGCTGCTTATAAAGCATGCAAATGAAATAACATTCTCATAGGGACTATGTTCAATATTGAATACACAACACAAAACATACAAACAAATATAAAAATAAAAGAGAAAACAAGCCGCGCATAATATGTACGTAAAATAATCATAACTCTTAAATTAATGCGTGCAAGCGGTTCAATAAAAAAGTGAACCTTCAATGTTATGCAAAGTAAATACAAAAGAGAAAAGAAATGATTGAGAAAAAATCGCTTTACGTTTGACGAGAGGTTCAATCGACTAAATTGAACCGCAAGTTCATAGAAAGCGTGCAAATACAATCAAAGTCATCGTTGCCGTTTTATATGGGCAAATGGTTCAATAAAAAAACTGAACCGTGCATAGTAAATACAAAGTAAAAGAGTAATGAATACATGAGAGTTTCTTACTCTTATGTAGATGTTGGAAATAAAACAAAAACAAAGTCATTATTGCAATTTTATACTAGCAAATGGTAAAAGTAAAGAAAAAAATTAAAGAAATTTGAAATGAAAAATAATATTTAGAAATGGATAAATGTGTGATTAAAGATTTTATTCAAATATCATTTTTTAAACGATTTTCTGAAAAAAAGGTTTTAATTCATAAAATGAATAGACCAACTTCAGATATGAAGAATTTGGTACCTGATATAAAAATGTCGAAATTTGTGGTAAGTCGCCGTTTGCCCACAGCTATTTACCATAAAAACCAGTGGATCACAGGTTGCGAACATTTAAATAAATTGTTTTGTTGGTCTTGTACGCTATTTGTTTGTGGAAAGGACAAAACTCAGGAGTAGGAGGAATACATTATAGTTGGAATTCTATTTTGATCAAAATGTGAACACCTTGCCAAAAAGCTGACGCTTCGCTACTGACGTACTAGCTTCTCTATTAGATGCTAACTTTTGGTATAAATGTGTTTTTAAGTAATATACATATATATAGAAATTGGTATATATGCAACATGATAAGGAATAACTTTTATTTTAACAAATACTATACAATTTGTTCACTTTGTCATAACACTTTCATGACTAATTATATATATTTACTTACATCAATAATAATTATAGCACTGCTGATTTTAGCTTATCTATTATTTATTAATATTTGATTTATATAGCAAATTTAAAATTTGTATAAAAATTGAAGCAAAACTAATATAAAAAATCATGCCTATATATACTCATTCAAATGAATTTAATAGATACAATGAATTTTCTGATAACAATAATTGATACTATTTATTCTAATAACTACATGCAACCGCAAATGTAGTAAACATTTATGTTATAACAATTCTGATATGGTGAATAAATATAAGACATTTTTTTGTCTTATATTACACACAGAGAAGCACAATTATTCAAAATTTTCTCTCAGTTTATTTTTTTTATCTTCTTTGTAGATATTTTAGTTCACAATAGAGTTTTCTTTCTTGTGGAGTACACTTTGTGGTATGGTGTTTCTAAATTAATATTAAACAAAATTTTAGTGACTTTTGTACAGTACGCAAACTAGTTTTTGGGAAGAGTTATCAAAAATATCAGAACAATTCTAATATCGAAATTATGAAAATAGTTGGCAGTACCTTTTAATAGTCGAATTACTCGCTGTTCTCTGTTTGTTACATGTATGTATAACAACGAGTATCTGGTGGCCGCCATTTTCAGCTCTCGTCGGAGTTGCGTAGCGTTGGTAGTTCATAATTGTTTTTACGTGTTGTATATTATTAGTGGTAATATGACAAATAATTTGTTTCACATATGCAGAAACATTTTTGTTGCTTAAGTATAGTTAAATGACAACTGTGTATAAAAAAAATTTACTTGATTTCTGTAAGCGGTTTACTGGAATATCAAAAGACTTTTAGACGATGTAGTCTTGAATTGTGTACTTAATTGTAAAAGGAGGTACTTAAAGACCTTTAAATATCTTTTTAAGATTACAATTAAAAGCAATTTTAAATAAAATACTCCTTTTGTATTTCCAATGAATATAAAACTTAGTTATTGAACATGTGTTATAGAAATTTACTAACATTACTTATTTAAAGTATCCCAGTTATTGACCAATATTTTCTGATGCAGTTCTTCCACCATCAGATTTTCTAATTGTCGCACTTAAAATTGAGAAGCTTAGATATTTTCTTATACATAAGCAACTATAAGAGACAATAATTCCTAGCCTATTGTTTGATACATATATAATTTAAAAATGAAATTTGTGATTTTTCCTTAATGTTCCGATAATATTTTTCAGAATAAGTTTTACTACGCAGAAACGGTACATTTTGAAATAATGCACTGTATGTTAGAAATAAATTATTTATAATCGTACATTTTTACTGATTTGAACCAAACCAGAGTATGGATTTTAAAAACAACAGTGCTGTGGTTAGCATTACGGGAAATGAACTAAACCCACAGTCACATTCAACGACTGATCACACTAACAGTGTGTCTTTTAAAGAAGGCTTCCTAGAACATGGTAATTTCGTTTTAAAAAAATGTTAAATAAATACTAAGATTTTGTTTGTGCGGTGTAGGCAGTGATGTTATGGATGAAGAAATTTGCACTAGATTTAGATGGAAACGTGTCTTAAATCCATCGGGTCCGCAACCTAGACCACGTCATGGTCACAGAGCTATTAATATTAAGGAGCTAATGGTTGTGTTTGGTGGTGGCAATGAAGGCATTGTCGACGAATTGCATGTTTACAATACAGGTTTGATAATGAAATAAAATTTGTTGTAATTATTAATGTTGTTATTTTTTTATTAGTTACAAATCAATGGTTTGTTCCAGCTATGAAAGGTGATGTTCCTCCCGGCTGTGCAGCATACGGATTTGTGGTAGAAGGAACGAGAATATTTGTTTTTGGTGGTATGATTGAATATGGTAAATACTCGAATGAACTGTATGAATTACAAGCTTCAAAATGGGAATGGCGTAAAATGCATCCATTTCAACCAGATAACGGCCCTGTACCATGTCCACGTCTAGGTCATAGTTTTACCATGGTTGGGGAAAAAATATTTTTATTTGGTGGTCTTGCTAACGAATCTGATGATCCGAAAAATAATATTCCAAAGTAAGTTTATAAATCAGACACATAAAGTAATGGTTTTATTTTATAAAACAAAAAATCTTAAAAATACACTTATCTTCTATAAACATTTGTAATATAAATATTTTTATACAAAAGAAATTTTCTTCCATGAAAATTATTTTTTATTAAAAAGTATTTTTGTCCTCGGACAAAGTAGAAGAGGGTGCAATAGTGGAAATTTTCAAATTTTCGATTTCTTTGATCGCTTTTTTCTAATTAAAAATTATCATATGGTATTGTAGATATTTTAGAAAGTTCTTACTATTTTCTTATTAATTTCTGTATTTTCCCGCATGCCAAATACACAAACATCGTCGTCATCGCCAACGACTAACATCTCATGCTCATGATGAATCAATTTCAATAAAAATATGCTCGTTTGGTACTGTAGTAGCCGATCCTCTGATCCACTGTATCAACGTCTCCTAAGAGATAAAATTAACGGACCTATTCTGTGCAAGTTATAAACTTGTCAAACATTGACACTTGTCAAAATTGACTGCTGTAAAGGTTTTGGTATTATGTGACATAAATAAAAATCTCTTTTCTTTGTTAGGGCCATGTTATGCAGAGTGTCTCGGGCACGGCAAATTACGCTCTTTCGGGCTATGCCCGAAATGCATGTTATGCAGAGTGTCACATCAGTATTGCCAATTTTGTATTTTTACTACTTCTTGGTTGTGCCTAAATTTTAAAGAAAATTTAGATATGCTCAATTTGCCACCAAAAATAACTCGCATGAAAAAACTCATAGAGGCTGTAATAATGTTAGTTTATTATTATATTATCTTATAATAATTGTTAACAGTTCTTACGCGTTTTTTTTAAATCGGAAAGTGTAATAATTATATTATTAGCGATTTATAAAAAAAATGCTGTGTTGCCTACAGCCATATTTTCTCCAAAACGTACTAGAATTGTAATGTTTTGCTCCTAAAAGGCGCAAATTTTGAAATTTATTACTAAACAATACTGTTTTGCCTTAGTGCCGGGGCACAAATACGCCGGCTCTCATGCCGGGGTTTGAACGGCCATATTGTTTTTTCTCTCATTCTCAAATTTAAAATTTGCATTGAAAACAACAACAATTGTACTCATGCCGTGCCCGAGACACTCTGCATAACATGGCCCTTAGTTATCAATACCACAAATGCTGTTGACAACTATAAAAATATGCTCTTTTTAAGCATTTTTTATTATTTGCATGCATGACAAATATTCTTAACAAATATACGCTCCTTACAAGCATTTTTTTTGTTGTGATTTGAATGCATGAAAAATGCTTTCGACAATTTAAAATATATGCTCTTTTTTACGAATAGTTACGAACAATTACGAACAGTTTTATATACAAAACACTCTACACCATAGTGTGGTGAGAAGCATTAGGTACTTGAGCTTTGAAATTTGTCAAGATGTGTCCAGAATACTAAAAAGCTTTCTGCTTTATAAAAATCAAAAATTTTATTAAAGAATTTGACAAATCTGTCAAGTGCACAGAATAGGTCCGTAAATAAAAGAACATAGCGAACATAATATTACAAATAATATCAAAAATTACAGCCTTTTGTTGAGTTGAAATATGTTACAATCTCCGGTTTGTTTTTGGGTCCGGATATTTTTTTTGTTATAAATAACTTAGGTGACATAAATATTTTATTTTTTTTCGAACTGTTTCCAAATATAGTATGTTAATTTTTGCTACAGACGCTGTTTTGAGAAGACGACTTGAATAAAACCATGATATCGACCATGATATTTTGTCCTTTCAAGCTTTCAGTCAAGTCCAACACCACGCACTATTTGATTTTTCTCTGGCTGTCTAATTCCTGATTTTTCGAGATACGGTTGTATTTTCCAAACATATTTCGTTCTAGAGTCGACAGATAACCAAAATTTCAAACCATATTTTGCTGGTTTTGAGGGCATATATTGCCTGAAAGAGCATCGTCCTCTAAAAGCTACTACGTGCTCATCTGTGGTAGCGTTTTCGTGGCAATTGTAATACATTAAGAAGTAGGGCTTTCCAACAGTTTCACAAATCACGAATTGGTTAAAAATTGTTACTGCTTTTTGCTTCAGAGCTACTTGTGTTGGAGTATTCATTTTCTGTATTTTCATTTTCAATATTCAAAGCCGAAATATCAGAAACACTTTCAGCTTAAATAACGTCGATCCATTTTCTCATACAACAACCTGATCACAAGGCAACTCAATTCGAAATGAATACTAGGCGGTTGGCGTGCAACTCATTGGTCTGGGCGTTGGAGTAAATTTAGGAGGAATCACAAAAATAATTTGTGTTTTAAACGCTGTTATTAGCCTTCGAATTATTTGTAAATTTCTTAGAACTTGAAAACTAAAATGAATCACGAGAGAGAAGTTCCAGGCAATATTTTGTAACTATTATAAAACACGTAAAAAAGAAAATTAATTATGCTTACATTTTCTTTTTCCGTATACAGCGGTCAAAAAAAAATATTCGTCATTAACTAAACTTTTGTGAAATGTTGCAATGACAACAAAAATAAAAAAAATGGAAAAATAATAATGCAATTTTCAACGATTGTATTCTGTTTATTTGTTTTTAAAGTTTTTACTTCAAAAATTTAAAAATAAAATAACAAAAAAGCAATTTTATTGCAAAGCACTAAAATATAAAGCAAAAAAAGTATTCGTCATTTATGCAACAGACTGCAGTTTTGGTAACAATAACTAAAATTTAATATTTTATTATATGTCCTTTACGTTTTATTACCTCTTTTAAATGGTAACTTTTCAATCGCTTAACCCTCTAGTAAATTCTTAGGCTGGCATTCCCAAACAGCTGTTTCGCATATCGCCAAATATCCATCATTAATGGTCTTTTAGAACATCCATTGTTTTAATTATCTTTGGATTGCAATTGTCCGGAATTGAACCCTGACAAATTTGAGCTATAATTCAACTATTAATTAATAATTATTATTGTCCTATAACAAGTATTTTTTTGAGTTTGAAAGAAGGTATTACTGAGAGAATTTTCAAATCATATTTTTTAGTTAGACGGATTCGAATAGGATAGAAAAGACTAGGACAAAAATTGAAATTTGGGTGACCATACAACGCTGTTTCGAGTATTGCAAAGTACTCATCATCAGTTATCTTTGGAAATATTCAAATTTCTTGATTACTTTATAGTCCATATATAATTTGTTTGCACTGCAAGTGCCAAGTTTAGAACTCGTACCTTTCAAATTAGAAGCGATGACTAATTCTATTTTACCACAAGTAGTTAAGGCTGTTCAAACTTTCTATGCTCAAGTTCCAGGTTTTTTGTCACTTTTTATTTAATTAGTGACACTAACCAAAACACTTGCCGTGCTTTTTAAATTAGAACGAGCTTATAAACTATAGTTTTATTTGGAAACACAAGTTCAACGCTTGAAAGTTTGTTTCTGAAGTTGCCTATTTTTATTTCAAAGCTATTCTTTTGTAGAGACATTTGTTATGCATATTTTGTACTGAATTAATTTTTTAATTTTTATTCAAATGAATTCTTGAGCTAACCTATCTGACTGTACAGCGATTCCTAATTCCCCCAAATATCCATTATCAGTGGTTTATTGAAAATATTCATTGTTTTATTTGTTCATATAGTTTATGGCCTACAATTGTCACGAATTGAACCCTGTCAAATTTGAACACTAGTTTAATTTTGCTGTTGTCGATAAATTGTCCGTTAAGATACTACTTAATTGGTCATAAGGTGTTATCACGAGATTCGGTCTGATGCAACACACATCTCTGCGTCCGTACCTTCTCCAGTCTTGTGCATCAAACGTAGTTAGTGCTTCCTTAACTTGATCACTTCGCTCAGTTCAACATTACCAGCAAAGAAGCTGGATATTAATTAATTGAACTTTATCAATGCCGTGATAAAACTTGTACTACTGGTGGTTCAATCGGATGTAGTGGTCATCACCAAGTCGTAAAACGCCAATTATCCAAAAGATAAATTCGCCAAGTGATCGTAAAATAACATTTTTCTCAAAAACTTCCAATGCATTGTTATCATTCTGTAATAGCGTCTATGCATCTGCACCATACAGAAGCGCAGCTAGAATGAGCGATCGAATGAGGTCTAAGTTTAAAGTAAGTTTTCGTCTGATCTCCGAGGTGACATTTTTAAAATTAACAGAAACTCGAAGTTCGAACAAATAAGTCAAGTACACCTTTGGGTTAGTTATTTAATGAACACTTACACTGACCTTCAAATTGGCAGGGTACAAATTTAGCCCTTGGTACTTAAATATAAGAAATAATTCACAAAAAAAAGTCTACAGATGATGGAGTTTAGCAATACTTGAAATAGCCATGTATGGTCAGGCAAAAATTAAATTTATTAAAAATAATATAATTTTATTGTTCCAATTCACTACTATTCTAAATACCACTCTGTTTTGAATTACCCTATATATTTAATTAACTCTAAACAATCAGAAATTATAACAGAATTCTCATGTTTAAAACCAAATTTCTAAAAAAAAAAATGGATTTTGGTTCGTCAAGTATTGAAAGGTAAAAATCTACGTTTTTCTTAAAATTTATCAGACTCACGTCAGCTAAGCTTAAATCTAAATATACTATTTCAAAAATAATTTCTTCATAATATGGACTTTTGAAATAGCAATAGGTGTGTTCTATTTTTAGCTTATTTGGATATAAGCTTAATTTTTGTATTGGATTTAACGTACTCTTATCTGCTTTTTGGTCATTGCAGCTGCCGTGAACGCATAGCAGTGATGTTATATAGATTGATTTATTTGTAAAATTTTAAATACAAACGAAAATAAATGAACTTAAAGTTTATTGTTGTCGTCGTCGTTGTTGTTGTTGTTGTTGTTGTTGTTGTTGTTGTGATTTGAGTTTGTGCTATTGCACATTTGCTAAAAATCATATAGTGTTTATGATTCAATTTTGTGAGTGAATGAAATTAATTAACCGTTGCTTTTCTCATTATTAGTGTTGTATATATTGTAATTGAAATCAAGGCACAGGAAATATATTAGCAATATGTATCGGTATTTTTAATTTTGGGTTTCCAAATTTATGTGGAATAGAGAAGAATTTCATACGTCCACAGAGATTTGCGTAAGGTAATAAAAATTAGTTTTGTGTCTTAAAAATTATTGAGTTTAAATTGAAATGATATTTTGAAATATTTTTGTGTCTCAAAATTTTTGCTTTCTTCAAAGATATCTTAATGATATATATATCTTGGAAATTCACGGTGTAAACGCTCACAATGGCCGATGGATTATGCCCAAAACATATGGAGAAAGTCCCCCTCCTCGCGAATCGCATACTGGAGTATCTTTTATGTGCAAACAAAATAAACTAAATTTGTTGATATACGGTGGAATGAGTGGATGTCGCTTGGGAGATTTATGGCTTTTAGATACAGGTAAGATGACATTGCAATAAATTCAAAAAATAATATTTTTTTTTAAGATACTATGGTTTGGTCAAAGCCTGTCACTCACGGAAGTCCGCCCTTGCCACGTTCATTACATAGCTCTACTTTGATTTGTAATAAAATGTATGTTTTTGGTGGATGGGTCCCACTTATTATTAATGATTCCAAGGCGACAACAGAGCGAGAATGGAAATGCACAAACACATTGGCTGTATTAGATTTAGGTATTTATTTTTAGTAAAAGGCAATATATATAACACGATACAAAATTTTAATTAATTTAGATACAATGTCTTGGGCAAATGTTACATTGGATACTTTAGAAGAAAATGTACCACGAGCACGAGCAGGACATTGTGCTGTTGGGATTCAAAGTAGACTTTATGTTTGGTCGGGACGTGATGGGTACCGAAAAGCGTGGAACAACCAGGTCAGGGTGAGCTCAAATATTCGTTAGTAATTTCTTGTATGTTTTAAAATTAGTTTTTTTAAAATTAATTATTTTAGTTGTATACAAATTACAATTTATTCTAACAGCTAATTTTTTTAATTTGAATATAATAAGTTTTATTTAATATTTATTGGTATATCAATATATATACGGATTTTTATAAATTTTTTTAATTTTCGTAAATATTTTTGAAAAGAAAATTATGTTTTTGGAACAAAAATAAAGTTTTTCACAAAACTTTATGAAAAATTGTTTATAATATACTTATTTCATATAAGAGATTAATGATTCCGTCTGTGTAGAACTTAGCCAAGTGATTTTTAGCGGTTTTTCAGTCCGTCAAATTTTAACCATTAAAAAGAAACTAAAACAAACTGTTTATACGTGCAATGAAATATACAACTACTTTATAAAAAAATGGAGCCTGTCAGTGTAATTTCGCAAATATTTTGGATTTTATCTCTTAAAAACGGACAGTGATCGTCGATTCCTAAGTCAGTTCGTTCGGGTTGTTCTTGCTTTAGTGCGTTGATTTTATTTGATACTTCACGACTAGTTTCCTCGGTGATAATTAATAGTCGCTTTCTATGTCAGCATTGCGCTTATTGTGTACATCGCTTACTATATTAAACCATTTGCTTGTCAAGCAAATGTGATCAATTTGACTTTGAAAGTCCCCGTTTAGTGAAACCCATGTGATCGTGTGATTTAATTTGTGGGGGAATACGGATCCACCGATTCTAAGATTATAGTTATTACAAAACTCTAAAAAGAGGTCACCATTTTCGTTGCAAACGCCTAGCTCATGTTTATCCATGATGTGCTCATAATTGATTTTGTTTGCTCCTAGCTGCGCATTAAAGTCACCCATTAGAATTATGATGTCATTGGGTGGTATTTGAAGTAGCGTGTGCTCAAGTTCTGATATTTGGTATTAAGTCGCGCAGTTATAATACGTTCTGAGGTAGATGTCCAGGAGAGCAAAGATTGAAGTATTGATATTTGAAGGTATATACCGACGCTTTGAATATTGGGGCATTTTCATTGGGCATTTCGGAAAAGATGATTAGGCCTTCTTTATTGTTATCAACTTTCCACATCCATTCCATCTCATCTCACTGATACCTAGTTAATATATCAATTTTGAGGCGATCACATTCGGCAGAAAGTTGTTTGAATTTACCTGCTTGGTAAAGGGTGCGTACATTCTATTGTCCAAATCAGGTTCATGTTTCATTGCGAATTTCCGTTACCAATGAAGTCCGCCCATTATTTTTGTTATTATTTGTAGATACTTGAATAATTTGTAAATTCAGATAGAATAGGTTATTGGCCCAAGCTATCCTAGTCCCGTGATAGGGCTGCTGTCTTGTTTAAAGTGTTTGGATTTTCTTGTCGCCAGAACCTTATATGTGCTAACGGGACACATCACATGAAGGTTAAGGTTGACAGTTGTTTAAGAGAGGTTATTTGAGTTGCATCATTAAACCTTTGCGCCCTCCAATTAAACCTCGCGTCAATTGGTGCAGACAAACACTGGAAAAAAAATTTATTTGACAACAATTTTCAATGAATGAAAGAAAAATGTTTTTTTTTCTTTTCAAGACAATGATAGCTCTCCCACATATTGGCAACCAAATGATTTTTTAAAGCACTCAACGTTTTATACTTATGGGATTTAGCACCTAATAATCAAGAATATCAAGAATATACATAGCTATAAAACCATATTTATCACGTACCGACATCATTGTGGAATAAATATTTCATCAATTGATTTGAACGTATTTAAACATATGTTTTCTTAGCTATTCTAAAGATTTAGTTATTACAATGATAATTCTTCGTCGGATCTCCAATTCCGACAATTGTTCATAAAGGCGGTACCAAGAAATATAAGAGCATTGATAGCTTAGAAAGCACATTCGCCAGCCACTAGCTGTATATGTCGGTTTCCGTTAATAACCTACATATTCTTTGTTTTATTTTATTCATCGCTAAACTTATTTTTACAGATTCCTTTTCAATAGTAGCAAATGCAGTAGCACTATGCTTAATTCACCGAATGATGCCGATAAGTGATGTTAATTTTCGAATATTTTAATAATTTCGAAATTTATAGGATTCTCAAACACGGAATCGCGAAATAAACGAAAATCATTAGAGTATAAAGCCGATGAAAAAAGTAATATGGTGTATATTATATATATATGCAAAAAATGCAACTTCAACTAAATTTTATTATACTTACAAGTTAACTGCACAAAATATTACTTAATAATGTTCTCTCTCCAATAACAATAACAATAACGTTGTTTTATATAAATTATTGTGTGTCGAAACGTTGGTGTTATTCTCTCTCTTTAATTTATCTTAAAAATAAATGCATCCAATTTGGTTGTTCAATAAGCAATAGCAGTGAGTCTAGTAAGTTTTCTGTTGGAATTTTAAAAAACATAGTTTTTTTGATTATTTTAAATTTATGTTATGTTTAAATGTTGTCAACAAGAAAAATTATAACGTAACTTAGAAGATTACATGATAGTAGGTCGCCTTTTTCTGAACCATCGCACTATATCAAATGGATCGAAAAGTGTCGATACCACCTTGACGGAGCTAAGGACCCTGATCAACATCATTCTGCAGAATCGTTTTAGCTTCGCAGAGATACTGAGCTATGTAGCTATAAAAAGATAAAAAGATAGTGAGTGCGATACAATCATGCTGAGATATTCCCAAAATTATTCGCTGTGTAAATATCTGGTCAGGGATAAAGCGACTACATCGAAAGCATCACTGATAAGAACCAATTCAATCGTTTGACAAACTTTAATAAAACCATATTCTGCAGATGAACTGATGTATGTTCCCTATCAGCATATAGAACAATTTCGCAAGTGGATCATCTATACCTGCCGCCTTGTTCTTTAGTCGGCATATAGCAACACGATATTTCGTTATAGACAAGTGGTGGAATTTTAACATTTGTTTGATTTAACATTTTTTCAAAGGTGGATTTGATGTATTAGTTTGGGAAAATGCTTTGTTCTATGTTTAAAGTATAAACTGTGTATCTTCCTATCGGTCGCGTCTTTCTTGATCTAGTTTCTTCTATTTAAGGATATATTCGTACTTTGCCTTTGCCTGAGTCTACATTTAGACCACAAAACGAACGACTGAGATTGTCGACCAGAAATTCATTCTCTTCCACCCTTTGCGTTGAAATTCCCAAGAACAATTTTAACGTCATCGGTGGAAAAGCAATTATAAGTTTTTTCTAGTCTCGTCTATGCGTAAATTTCTAAATAAATTTTCTTTGATGCGGATAGAGGCAAGGCTTTCGTTCACTAGTGTGAATCGCTGAATTGCATTTGAAAATCTCTTTCTAACCACGATACCGTATGTGCATCGATGTCTATTTACCATGATCATGACTAAGCCAGCGAATCCGCTGAATGTTAATTTACTGAATTATATCAATGTCGTGATGAAGGTCGTACAGCTCGTAGTTCATCCGGATATACTTTGTTTTGCCTTATATACCGCTAAGCCTATTTCAGATTCCTCTTCGACCTAATTATAAATTATTATATTATTATTTTATCATTTTATAATTATCACATTTCTTTAGTAATATAAATGTAATTAATTTTTTTACAAAAAATTCAATTTTAGGTGTGTTGTAAAGATCTTTGGTTTCTGGAAGTTACAAAGCCCCTGTATGCAGTGAAAGTTGCACTTGTTCGAGCATCTACACATGCGCTTGAATTGTGCTGGACACCAACAACTTTTGCGTCAGCTTATGAACTACAAATACAAAAAATTGAACAAATTTCTTTAGGTCCCAAACAAACACCTGCAATAGGTTCAATATCTACAAATCCAATTTCTGTACAAATTCAATCGAGTAGCACAGCAGTTGGCGCAACAGAAAATAATTTGAATACTTCAATGAAGTATCCAAAAGTTCAAAATATAGTAGCTCCTACAATAATCAATACAAGTTCATCAACCCAGCAAACAGCATTTCAACATCAAATTAGTAAACTTCAAGCTGTACCCTCCTCTCAGCAACAAAATAACGTTTCTTTTGCCACTCAATCGCAACAACATTCACATCCAAAACTAATGGCATCAACCTCAGTAGATTTAATGAATATAACAACTCAGTCACCACAAACTGCTACTGTCACTAATGTGTCTGGAGTCACATCTGCAACGTTAGTAAATGTTAACCTCACACAACAACAACAGCAACAGGTAACAACAATATCTTCAATAAATAATTCTTGCAATAGTACTGGAAATTTAACCACAATATTACAAAAGCTTAGACCAACTACGGTTGTGACACGATGTTCTTCTATTGCAAGTACTTTGAATTCAAGTGTTGTCTCGAATGTTTCATCCGAAAATACAATAAATACCGTTACTGGTCTCCGAGTGGTAACTGCTACACCACAAAGCCTCACTTCGACATCAGCAGCAGGGCCAGCGGCTGTACGCATTTTATCTACTGCAAGTGGGCAGACGTTACGACTCTCTGCAGCTCAAGGTGGCATTACTGCGGCAACAATTTTAAAACCAAGTCCACATTCAAACTCAGCTGCATCTTTTTCAGGACAACTACAATCAAATTCAGGCTCTTCATCTAATTCACCTTTATCTTCATCAGCCACAATTTGTGGTAAACAGATTATTATACAAAAGCCGTTGAATATATCGCCAAACGTTCAGTTTCAATTGGTCAAAACTAGTACTGGAGTTGCAGTCCAAACTTTGCCAAAGGCGAATTTAAATCTTAATAAAACAACCAGTCAGGTACTAAACAATCCACAAAACGTTGCTGTAACTCAATCATCAGTTAATTTATCACAACCGGTAATAAATACTGTTAGTAGTGGAATTACAACTAGCACATCAAGTACGAGTAGTTCTGCTACATTGTCAACTAATGTTGTACAACAGAAATCCCTTGTAACAGGAAATTTGGTTAAACTTGTTTCTTCACACGCGGTTAGTGGGGGAAAGTTAATCATGAAAAATCCAAATATACTGCAAGTTGGCAAAGTTGCATCTAATATCGTTGGTGGTAAGCCATCATTCGTTATAACTAATAAACCAGGTCAACATTTAACAAATCAGCAAATAATAATTGTAACAACAGGAACTGGATTAAGAGCTTTACCAGCATCAAGTATAATGACAAATGCTGCTAGTACTAATATTGTCTCAATAGTGGGTTCTACAAGTACCACTACTACAGCAGTAGCCGCATCTCGTAATGTAGTTACAGGACAAACTAGTGTTAAAATGATTCGCGGTGTTGCAGGAACTACCGGAAGACCCATTACTTTAACCTTGCCCAAAGGTTTAAGTTCAAATACTACTCACATTACTTCACAGCAACAACAAACAACACATCATCCGAAAATTGGGTTAGCCAATACGGCAAACATTCAACAAAAAACTATTACTCTTGGTGGTAAAGCCGTGACTGTACAAATGTCTTCAAATCCGGGTCTTACAGGTGTTCCAAAAACAGTAACAATCATGACATCAACATCAAGTGGTCAAACGCAATCACACACAAACGCTACTAGTAAACTCGTAATGCTTCCTAACGCGTCAAATTTGTCTTCAGCTAAGAAAGGTTACGTAAATATATTTAATTCGAATTCTGGGTCTGCTAACACTCTCCCAAGAACAATTACGTTGACAACAAAAAATAAAAACTCTCAACTTGTAACTACTGCAAACGCTGTTAACAATTCAAATGACACTAATGTGGCAGTACATACAGTAGGAGAAAATCATTATTCCGAAAGCGATGCCATGGACGATATAATAGAACAATTGGACGGTGCCATAGATGTTTTGAATTTTGCACATAATAATATAAACGAAGACATTGATGATAGTATATCATCAGAAAATAAAAATTCTGTGAATAGAATTATTAAAAGTGAAAATATTGATTCCAGCTTTAAAATTAAAGATTCAAAATCAAGTTTTGATACAGTAATATCAAATAACACTAAGGAAAATATATTTGAACGTAATTGCATATGCACTGAGGCAGAAGTATTTGAAAAAGATGAAAACAAAAATAAAATGAGTAAAATAACGGGAAATTTAATGGTAATGCGCGTAGTTTAATTTTTTTAATTTGTAATTTTGAAATACAACTCTTTTTTAGGTAGACAATGTAACTTGTGGCAGCTGTAGAACAAATATATCTCCATCAGATTTATCAACAAGTAATAGAGAACTATATACATCGGACAATATAATAACAGCAACATCAGCTAAAAGGTTAAACATAAATTCTATATGTAATATATAAGCTTCGACAGTAGTCATATGTACCCTAAACACTTAAATTTTAGTTCAAAAATAGCCTGATGTTGAGCCTTGTTAAGAAAGTAATCAATTGTCAATCAAAATGTTTATGTCCAATTCTTGAAGTAATTACTTCTGTTACTTGTGTAGTCCAAATTATATTTAAATCATACTTACGTCATAGCTAAAACTGCTCGGCACCAGTGCGATATAAAGTCAATTGTTACACTTATCCATAAAATTTTCTAATATGGATATATCTATACATCCAATTAGTATGTAAATTTTAATTATAAAATTCAAATATAATTTTTATGTTAACTAATGCAAATTCTCTACAACAAATAAGGAAAATAAAATTAAATCATTGAAAATAAACTTTGAACTATGTAATCGTGTTATTTATGTACAACATTCATTCTGTTTGAAAAACTTATGAATTCGAAAGATTAATTATAGGACTGAAATAAAATCTTTAATTCCATTGTGTGAAATACTCTTGTCATAAAACGAATCAAAAAATTTGAGTGTTCTTCAAAAACTTGCTATTGGGTGACTGATTTAGTTTTGCGATTTGTGAAATAAAACTAAAAGTTTTTGCACAAAAAAAATATTAACGTTATTACTCATCAAAACTGCAACATTTTTACTTTTCAGGCAACATATGCACTTCGACTCGAAAGGATTTGTAATCTTTAGAAACAATCCAATTATTGTCGAACGTTTATTTCTTTATCACCTTGTTAATGTAATAAAATAAGTTGCAATTTGATGGAACAATATTTTGGCATTGTAGAATTTTAAATTGAGCAATTTTCTAGCAAAAAAGTTTTTTGGAATTACTTAATATGTACAAGATCACCTCAAATTGCGGTTCCTGATCTCATTGTTGAGCTATTTCTTAATCACTTCAGTTAGCTCAAGCGATCACTAGATATAAGGCGGGGCCACCAATTACCGATTATACAACGCAAAAAACAAAAAAAAAAAGCTTGTAATGTTCAAGATAATTATTTTTCACTACGAAAATTTAAGTCGACTTCAAAGTCGAATAATCTGATTTTAGTTTCCCATTTTAGCGCATTCTTTTACGTCATTCACGTTATTCCAGCAGAGTACCTCTCGGATTTGATATTATTTTATGTATATTAGACGGTGTGGTAAGTGCACGCTAAGATATTCAAGCAAACTTCTGACGGGCGCAGACCAGATAGGGTCATGCTTTGACTAGTTGTACGGTTCGGCGTACTCAATAAACTTACAAACAGGTAAATTATATATAGCTAACTGGTGCATTAATACAATCCTTTTCATATGAATATTTATAATTGCTGAAACAAAATGTTAATAATATTCATTGATTTGCATTTGAAACATTTAAATAATTTTAATGAAATATTTAAATAATAATATAGACTGTTAGATAGAGAGAAATTGTAGTTAAAACAATTTATACCTAAAAGTTTGCGTTTGCAAGAAACTATACAATGCACAATGAACGTAAAAAAAGTCAAGGAGATTAAAATAAACTAATATTGACAGAGCTTCAAAACGCAATTAACGCGTCTTTTATTTTATACTAATTTATTGTTTTAATAGGTTATGCTTTTTTATATAAATTTGACAGTGAAGTGCTTCTTGCAATGTTTAATATTTCCATCATTTATAAACAGACAAACTAATTTTCCAGTAAATAATCACTAACCATCTCTTTAACATATTTAAATTCAATTTATTTTCAAGTATTCAACTAATCTAATTATACACAGGGTTCGCATTTGCTCACTCATGAGCAGCTCAGGCTCATGAGCAAGAGCCAATTCTTATATGAGCCCAAAATTGGCTTAAGAGCGTGAGCCCATTTTTAACTTAATGGCGGCTCTTGCTCGTGAGCGTGAGTCTGCAGTTGGGCGTGAGCGTGAGCCATCGTATGGAAAGAGTTTTTTGCCGACTCATGAGCCGTGAGCAGAATGAGCCAAAATGAGCCGCTCATGGGTACACAAATACGAACTCTGATTATACATATCAAAATATTATAATCAGAGCTACAGTAGTTATTATACATTCACAAGAAAGTCGAAATTCACTAAATTAGAACAGTTAACTGCTGTAACAAGATTCAGGGATATGGGACTAGGCAACGTCTACCAAACTAGGTAGACATGTCAAAAACCTAAACCAAACCAATAGGTTTTGGTTGGACACAGGTCGCACCAGCAGTTTAATATTCGTAACAGTCAACTGTAATTCTGGCAAATGTCTTAACACATATAATAAATTCGACAACCTAAAAAGGGTTTGAAAGTTAATTATAATATAAAACAATTTTAGAATTAAAAATATATGTAATAGCAATCATAACAACTGAACAGTATTTTTGCCAGACATTCATTAATATGCAAAATTCTTATATACTTATTTATATTACTTTTTTATATATAGTTACTATTTTTATAGGTATAATCAAGTATTATAACTAAGAGGCAAGAAAGTACCGATGGAAAAGGTCTGCGATTCTCGGAATATGTAAATCCCACTATGAAAAAAAACTATTTGAAATTAATATTGATACGGCACACAAGATATTTGGGCACCGAATTTCTGCCAAGATTTAATAAATGGATTTAAAGTTTGCCGAATTAGGCCGAGCCTGACGATAGTAAGGGATATTGGCCCCAAAATAAAGTATAACAATAAAAAAATTATTATGATGCAGGTACCAAGTCTTTTTTATAGATATTTTTATTTTATACATTATATATATTATTCTTAAGTACTATACTGCACAATGTTATTTGATTATGTATTTCCTGCATCAATACTATTAAAATAGTAAACTTTTTTTGAAATTAAAGGAGACTAAGTTTATAATTAAACGAAGAAAATGTGTTTTATTAAAAGTAAAGCAACAAGAATTAAGATTTAAGATATCAGAATGTGATATGAGAACACCGCAGAAGCTGTGTTATACTTGAGGGTTACCTGACTGGGTGTGTGCGTGACACAAATCAATGACTAATTCTTATTTGTGAAAACACAGCGGTTTACAGTTGTGTACAGTTTTGTACCATTTGGATCAAAGGAACGATAAAGATATTGAAAGGCATGCCAGTGTTGACCTTTAATGTCGTTGATGAGAACATTTATTGTGTTAGGAAGGTCAGCTACTCCCATGCATGTATTTATCACCGAAAATAACCGAACGGAAGATCAGAGGCATCTATCTTGCAGTGACGACGCGTGCCCTATCTGGAAGGGTGTGCGGCCCTTCTTTAATGTTGTTTTTACATGTACCACTTATATTAAAATATATGAGATCTTTTATTAATAATACTATATTATATAAGGCAACAATATATTCGCGCAATATTATATTAACAATTCATTAACAAAATAACATATTAAACAAATTAAATTAATAATTTATGTACAAGTTTAATATTATATCAATATGGAAGAAACAAAACTTTTCACATAATTCTCGTAACATCAAACCAAATTTTTTCAAACAAAAGAGTTTGTACTTAGAAGCATACATGTTTGTGCAGTGATCAAACAAAATCGAAACCACTTGCAATGTGCGCACAAGTACCCCGCACAATAAGAACAGAAATTCGTGGGTGCTGCTGTTAAAAGGGGAGAGACGAAATGTGATAGAAATGTATGGTGAGATGAGCTGCAAACTTCAGCCGCTCATGCAACCGCTTTGGCAAATCATCATGTTGGATTCGTATGCATACAGTTGATATTCGAATAGAACAGAAAATTACTCTCATACAATTCCCACTATATATATCTCTATTTCTGATATTACGAACGGGAGCACACGCACATTATTTTGTTCATATGTAACGTATGAATGTGCGGCCAACTTCTTTGCACACAAAGGGGAGAGACGAAATATAATAGAAATGTTCTGTGATTTGAGCTGCAAATATATGAGCACAACTAACAAGTATAGCGGCTAACATAAGCAAATTAATTGAGTTATATAGACAATTATATTTAATTGTTTTTGCTAAAACTTTAAAAATATATATTTATATGGAAATGTAATAAATAATAATAATTCTTGATGTAAAGATTTATATACCTATGTTATTTAACATTTTGCAAATTATATTAGGGTGTTCACCGCACACCTCCGCACCTTAGAGCAGTCGTCACTGCTATCTTGGTGGGAAAAGTAGGAAGTAAGATTAAGCTACACTTTACTCCCATGTACGTAGGATAAATCTTAGGTATATTGGTCCCGTCACATTAAACGTAAATGGCTAGAGCACAATTAAAGAAAAGTCGCACTAGCATTTATCAAAATATTACACTAAAGCATAGGCTGTTTATTTTTGATATTTTTTGATTTAATGGTAGCATTAAAATATTGTTGCAACAATAGCCGATAATACTAAAAATTTCATAAGAAACCAAACAAGTACTGTTTAATACTGAACATCATATGTTACCATAATACTGTTATGGTAATATATAAAAAATAGCAGTAATTTTTGTTCCAGAGTGGCAAAAAAATAAAACTGACGAAAGAAAACATATGAAGCAACAACAATGCTCATAAAATCATCAGAGTTAAGTTTTACTCTCAAAAATTCTTACGTCTTAAGTTTTAGAGCATCTAAATTCAAAAATCAGTCTATTCTGAATGTTCACTGGATATACACATAGTAGAAAAAGTCTACGGATATTCACAAAATTTTTCTAAAATTACGCATAACTTTTTTAATTTTTACTCAAATTCATTTTTATTTACTGATTTATTTTAACCAAAGAAACAACAATAAAGTTGCAATATTAAAACTAAACAGTTATTCTTTAAAAAAAATTAAACACAATTATATGCAAAAGTAGCAATTTTTGAAGCAGAAAAAGTCTACAGATATTTCTTAATATTTACATTTACCGTTAATTTAAATTCGTTTGCAAGCATAAAAGTGTCATTAAATGATATTTAGTTATTAGTTGACTTCCTAAAGAGTCTAAAAATTAATCATTTAATAATATCTTTTTATATAAGCAATAAATTTTTACAATATAAAATAAAAGACGTGAAATTAGTTTTAGTGAGCGACAAATAACTGTTAAATTTTAGAAAGATGACGTAAGCCAAAGAAAAATTGCTGAAGATATTGGTCGTCAATATTCATCTGTGTAGAGAATTACAAATAACTTTAAAGAGACCAGTACTTACGTTTCTAAACCTCGCACTCGCCGCTCCTCAATTCTGTCAAATAGAGAAAGACGTAGCATAATCAACCAGGTGAAAGTAAATGCAAGAGTAACAGCCTTCAAACTAGCTGAACATATTGCCGAAATACTTGAAAACAAAATATGTC